ATGTAATGATTACCTACTACCTTACAGAAGTCTACTTCATCGCAACATTAATCGGAACGATAAATAGATGTCCGGAAGTCCTCGTGCAGTTTCAAATTCTCTCCTTCGCATTCTTGAACTTATTGAATATGGCTACGCACGTTGTGTGAATAATCATTAGACGATTTCTACAATTCTGAATGGATTGTATCATTCGATATAAAGAAGGCATGGTCTCTTTCACCGTACGTACATTTGCATACGTCATCATAAATCGAAGTTTGCTTAACTTGGGAAAAAACAGTGTAATTCCCTAGTTCATTTTACTTAATCTTGTATTACATTTCAAATTGTCTTCGAAACTTCTAGTGAAATTATTCATCAAAATATTGAAGTGAATAAGAGACAAAGTTAATAAGAACCTTTAATAAGAATAGTACACACCAAATGCTCTAATTCTAGCTAAAAACCCAATTTAAAGTTTTCTCACATCTTAATGTCTTTTCTGGTAACAGCACTTTCATCACACTACAGCGCAAATCGGCAAAACATCACACAAATTAATACGCGAATCGTCATAAATGCAGCAGCAAAAAATCCGGCATTTCCAACTTTTTAACGTTTTTAAGAAAATAAGTATAAGAAAATAGTCTTTGTTCAGCGCATTTTTCAGCATTCAGCAGAGACATACATTACTGGATGTAAATATACATAAACTCCGAGATCAGTTCATGCTCAATACAGAAAGCAGCTAAAACACGCCTTAAGTACTTTGCAGTGATCTTCACGGAGATCTTTTTTAAATATGATCGAAGAAAACACCGCGGAAAAGTTTCCCTCGCATGTTTGTTTAAAATGGTCCTTAAGATGGAGCTGCTTTGAAATATCTTTCTATCAAAGCTTCTGCGAATTGCGAAATTCAATATCGAAAGAAAACTTCCATCTGGTCTTCTCACCCGTTAACTCTTCTGTACAACACAATATGAAAATCGATTCGACAAATAGTTTCCGAAAGAAGCGAGCTTCAACAGCGTTCTTTGGTTGTTAACAGTCGGTGGGATAAAAAGTACACAGTGAAAGGCTGCTCGCGAGAGCAGAAAGCGTCAAACAAATGTTCCTATGTGTTGCACAACGGTAAAGGGAGTTGGCGCAAGATGGGAAGAAACTGGTGGATCTCAACGGAACAGTAACCGCTTGAGGTGAAGAAATGCACAGATCGAAAAATCCCGCACAACTTATATCGAAGTGACCTATCGCAATCACCTCATAGTTGGAATTTTTACCAAGTTTCAATACGAACTACCGCTTTTCAACTTGAGACTTGCAGCTTTTCAGAGCAGTACTACAACTTCTGTCGCTCAGTACATGAGATAATGGAAAACTGCACACGCTTCTCCCTATGTTTAGTCCCACTTTACAACAGAGATAATGGTTTATTTCTGCAGTATGTGAAACATACAACGGGAAAGAATTGCAATGAGTAAATTCAGCAAATTATTCGGTATTACAATAAAAGACACTTTACACACTTAATTACAAATATCTCCAAATTAGGAGATGGAAATAATGTAAAGATTTCACATTATTACCTTCATGAATTGGAACTTTTACGCTTTCTTCGAAATAACGTAGCAAAATATATAGCAAAAGAAATATGGCAAAACCTATCTACAATCCGTCAACACTGATTTCATGCAAGTACTTCCGACCAACTATCGAAAACAAGATCGTTCCCTGTTTGTAGAAATTTGATCATCATAAATCGCAATGCTTTGAAAGAGAGCAATACAATGTTGGTATCGACACTAATGTTACATTTAGTAATACAGTCAGAGTTGATTTTGGACCTTACCTTGTATTTATATATTATTTGAAGAATTGTTTAAACCATCCTACACATTCAAAACTAACTACGAGATGGCAAATGGATGGACACAATCTGGCAATACAGGTCACACAAAGTAACAATACAGTCAAAGCTGATTTAGGTCGGTAACTTGAAATTTCTGATTATCTATATATTTATTTCGCACTCGTAGAATTATTCAAACCATTCTACACTTTCAAAAATATTAGGAGATGTCTATTGGACGCACACAACCTGACGTTTTTTACATAACAAATTTTCGTGGACTTACAGTAATTAGGTCGCGAATGCGTAAAATGCATATGTCTTGCAAAATGAAATGTAAAGGCGACTTGAGCATTATTTTAACTATCATGTGTTATTAATAAATGTAATATTGTGTATTGTGTATTGTCAATATTAATAAATGTTTTGGATTCTCTATCACAGCTCTCTACAGGAAGTGAGTGTTTTACTTTTCTAAAATATACTCTTCCGACAAAGATCGGGCATTCATACATTAGCTCTGCGAAGAGGTGACTTTTTTTTATTACGCATTAAATGTGACTCCAGTGAAGTCTACATGTATTTAAGTCATCAGTTCATGTGCTTGCATTACTTATAATGATGAGAGTGCATCACGAAAATGTAAATTGTATTTCTGAATTAGATGTTTTCATTTCACCAAATCCATTCGCTAACTATCCCCATTCACTAAAATATCAGATCAACGGAGATTATCAGGGAGGCACATAGCTGGGACAGAGCAGGGGAAGTAAAGGCTCTCCTAAAATAAGAAAACAAATCTTGCCTGATTAGTTGATGATTATGTCGTATTAAAATACATTACATTCACAATCGAAACGAACCTATAAATAGACACTAACGATATTTCACATTTCACACAAAGGAAAATGTGTCAATAGTCCGCGAAGGGGTATAATGAAATATTAGGCAGCCTGTTCTCCGCGTGTTAAGTCTTGAATGTTTGATTGAACACTTGACGAGCTTCTCCCCAAATGAAAAAAATTCTGGCCAGGGGGACAAGTCTGATTTTTTTTTTCTTTCGAAAATTTCTTTCTCAGTCGTTTGCTGGACTATCGGACACGCTTAACGCGGTGCATCGCGACGCCACGATGACCCGGCGAGCAGGAGTGTGGTGCGATTCAACGCTCCGTATCAAACTTTGGCCTGATCCTAATTCCTATTGTGAGGGATGGGATCCTGGATATTCATCTTCAAATGATGTCGCAGTTATTCTAGCGGGCGGGTACCCCCCGCCACACACACACACACACACACACACACGAAAAGAAACACCTTGTATTTATTTTTTATTTTCTTTCTTTCTTTTTCACTTTTCCCTCTCCAAACGCCGCTGTCGGCGTCGCCCTCAGAAGCCTCACAAGGCCTTGTACACACAATAACGTCTCCCTCCACCCACACGCGCGAATCCGCAGCAGGGCCGCGCGTTAAGTAGGAAATTTTCAAGCGGCGCCGTCCCAATTTACTGCAACGCACAGCACGCGAGGTCACACGGCGCCGAAACATACTGATGGCAGCGCGCTAATATATTAGACGCGTCGTTTCGAAGTTGCAACGGGAGAGCACGCCGCATCTCTCGCCTGCCACAGCGCGCCAAATGAACGCCAACTCCGATGCATCAGGTCGAGAAAGTTCATTAATTAGAAACGGCTTTTAGGAAGCCGCTATTAGAAGTTCAAACTGTCTTAACATTCGAAGGAATTTTTAAAGACGTAATGAGAACGGTGGAAAACGGCTAAACAAGAGTCAAACTGTCTCCGCGATAAATTCGCGCCGTCACGCACGAGGAACGGTTCCCAGAGTGCAAAAAATCTTCTTTCCTGTTTCCATATGTTATGTAACTTCGGCTAACTCAAACGTACGCGGAGATACGTCTCGCTGCAGCGTCACTTATAATGTGTCAGTCACTGTGTATTTTTAATTATATGACCGAGCTATGCCCGATAAACTTTATTACTGAACCCTACTTCACAATTACGCCACCACAGTCACCGGCCGTGCGATAACCCAGAATCAACAACTCTGAAAAAAACGCAAACGTGACATTTTAAATCTATAATCAACAATGTGTATGGAAGTGCATGCAAACAACACGAAATGCAAGATACACAAACACGACAGAACAATGTTTTTGCATCGTCGTTTAGTTTCCAAAAGCATTTTTCTCTGGCTCCATGAAACGCAATACGCTGACGAGCACCAAAATGCAGAACAGGTCTAGTTGATTTCGTGCGAAACGCGACACGAGCCCCCAAACAACAGGCACGAAATATTAGCAATAAATCGCATTCTGGAAGCCAACACTGTGCTTCAGGCCACGTTTCTGCACGGCGACGTAAGAGGTTACGCAACCTGCTACCAGCAAAGTCAATGTTAGGAATAAAACGAAATTGTGAAACTTGCTGTTCACATGCGTACAGGAAGCAAAATGTCATCAAAACAAAAGCAAAATAATTCCGCACAATCAGTCCTCACGAACACGCAGAAAATAATATATGGATGATCGACCATCAGCGACATGAAATATGTAAGTTCTTGCTAATTCCATATTTTCCATAATGACATGTGATAATGTCATGTGACACAAACATTTTCCGTTGAAATCACAAAGTAATACCGACTTTTACGACGGGCTATAAAAACATCGGTACCTGTCAAAACGTAACTGTGCAACAATCCAAGTCGTCCTGGTCCGACCATTAAACGCCGCCTCAGTTAAATTGTTGCGTCGCAACGCCGACATATGCGCACTCGACGAAGTGCACGTGCCAGGCAGTACCGCATATTGCAAATAAAAACAATACGTCACTGAACGGCATGCACTGGTAGGGGGTGTGCGAGTAGCATAAACAATTGCTCGCATTACGTCACCTAACCTCTATCGCTGACACGATCCGGCAAAATATAATAAAAAAATTGGTAGCACTGGACAAAAAGTGTAGATACCATACCTTATTCTGTCAGGTTTACACATTTCACAACACAGTCTAAACACTCACGCACTGAACACATCCGGTTCCGTAACAATCTACAGCTTGCAACGACCCGCAACTGCCTATTGTCGAAGTGGTCGGCGCACAGAATGCACGAAACATGCAAGTTGAAAACCTTTTCGTGGCACAACACTAACCTGTTACGAACTTGATAGATCAGCGTTATAGAATAAGGTTCCTCGGCTCCTCCATTCGTTCTGTAGCACAAGCAATGAAGTAAAAACACAGAATTCAACATGCACAATGAGGACGAAAGTTCCAACCAGCCAGCCACCTAGCAAGCACAAACCTACTGCTCGCGGTGCTGCGCTCCACCGAGTCAAATCCCCCAAGCCTTTGCTTCGGGCGACGTCGGTAGCGGGTTCGGATTAATTCGGCGTATGGCGCCGATGCGGTGGAAGGGAGCGCCGGCGCGGAGTGGGGATGGAGGGGAAGGCGGAGAGGAAGGAGACGCAGCGCCGCGGAGAGGGGGTAGACCGCGGGCGGACAGAGAAGGACAGACGGTAAAAAAGGAAAGAAGTGGTTCAATGCGCCGGGCTTCTGCTTCACCATCCAGCAACGAAATGAACGGCCGGGAAGATTCATTACGTAGGAAAGTTGGAAACAGAAGAGATTAATTCTTGTCGACCCACGCTAGTGCACTGTAACGCGATCCAACAAGATCATCTTGGCAACTTCACTGTGCCCTCTCTACCGCGCTCTCGATTTTTTGCAGGACTGATGTAAGGAAGAAGGCTACGAATCAACCCAGCTGACCTCTGTAGTAAACCAAAAGAAGATATTACGTTCTGGTCTAGCAATAAGAATTACCGAGGCTCCTTCACGTCAAGCGAAAAGACACGAGGGCAACGGAATAAAAAGTAATCTGTGAGCAATAAGACCTCTCAAAGGAATAGCCAACAAAATCTGCCACACGTCAGAACAACATTTTGGCTGAGACGTCGCGATTTACGATAAGAAAGATGATTGAAAGACTACAATAAATAAGAACCAGATAAATCTATGATAGTAATATTTTTCTTTTTTCAGACTCTGATGATGAGACAGTACAGAAAAAATGCAGAGGATATGAGAATCAAATGTGAAGGTGGTGTGTTCGTTCAAATGAACTAGTACGAATAAATTTTTTTTAAAATTTTTATGACAAGATATGCGTACAGATCAACGGAACTTGCAATAATGGCAAAGTATGTGGGAAGAGACGTAGATTCCTCCCTCTTTACTTTGCAGCGACTTAAATACTACTTTTCTAAGACTTTAGTAGAGCTTCCCCAATATAGTCATCCCATATATTCAAGAAAACGCAAAAATAATATTTGAATTAAAAGAAAAAAGTTGAGCAAAATCTATTTCACATCTCTGTACTTCTAAATTTCTTTTCTTTTTTACCCCTTTTCGTTTTTTTCCTTTTTTTTTAAATCCAAACTATTTTTGAGATTTTTGTAGTATTAGCTGCTCAGTAGGACTGCTCAGCTGCACAACACAAAATGAAGCATGAAACAGAAAATTGATTTCGTGAGCAGAGGGCAACTAGACGTCTTAGTTCTGTAGATGGAATTACCAGGATTGAATCGACGGCTTCAAATCTGAAAACCGGTCGATAACTGCTGCTTTTCGAAACCAATAAAACTAATTTTATTTTCTAATAATTGATTTTTTGACAAATACTTTCATTATCATTTCATATTGACTTTATATTGACATAAATTAAAAAATATACTGCGTGATGCTATGAGTGAGAATGATTTTACAAGATTACAGAATGTTATGATTTTTTGGGAAAACATTAAATGATTTTCTCTTTCTGTGAGTTTTTCGATTTTCCACACTTCCGTGAGATAAACATATCTAAATTTCACTGCAATTCACGCCTGACCTCTACCTTGTATTCTTCGAGATATTGAAATAAGTGAGTCAACAAATTAGCTCTACAAACTTAATTGCTTGTGTTGGGAAGTTCCCAACTCCTTAGCAGGGCAACAGGCATCAAACATAATTCCGTGCGTCCCCAGCGGGAAGCCCAGTCGGCTCCCGTTCACCCGCAACCACCCGGCAGCGGGCCCGAAATTAAGTAACCGAGCAATGCCCGAACATGCTCGATGATTAATGAAGTTGGTGGGCGCAAATGCAGTGGATCTGCGCGGGTGCAGGCGGCGGCGGAGGCGGCAAAGACGCTCGGCCCAGAGGGGACAGAGGGGGACACGGGGGAAGGAAGGTCGACGTAGGCGGCAAGAGAGATACGATACGAAGCAGCAGGCGGGGTAGGCACAAGTTCCGATGCATCCACCCCGAATGTAGTAAGGCCCAACGCCGGAGGGCGACGGACGGCGGCGGTGGCGGCGGGCGGAGGGGAAGAGCTTCAGAGGCGGCGGGGTCCGCAGGGAGAGTCCGCAAGGCCACCGCCGCCCCCGCCCCCGCATTCGCCTTCCCCTCCGCCCGCGCTTCCGTCGGGTGCTGCGCTGTGGCGCGCCGCGCCGCGCCGCCGGAACTGCTGACGCCAGCGAAACTTAGGCAGCAGGAATGCAGAAGGGATCCGGCGCTTGCAGCGAGAGCTCCGCGCGGAGCGGAGCGGTGCAGCGCGAGGCGGAGACGAGCGGCGTGGTGCGGAGCAGCGCGCATCTCTCCGTTGGAACTCCTGCCACACGGGGTTGTGGTTCCTCGCCCCGCCAGGCCACCCCATGTCACACCACGCCACGCCCTTCCCGTTGGGTCCTGACCGACCCCGTCCTTTCCGGCCCCAGCACGCAAAGTCACACCACACCTCACCACGCCCTTACCATCGTGTCCCGTCCAACCCCGTGCCTTTCTGTCGCAGAATGAGAAGCCGTGCCACGCCACGCCACGTGATGACTCGCCAGGCGGAACAAAGACACTCCACGCCATGCCTCGCCACACCACGCCACGCCCTTCCCATCGAATCCAATCAGAACCCCGACCTCTTCTACCACAGCACGCGATGCCACACCATGTCACGCCACGCCATGGGATACTTTGCCAGGCATAGCCAAGACACGCCACGCCACCCCACGCCCTTCCCATCGTATCGTATCAAAACTCCGTCCCCTCCTTCCACAGCACTCGACGCCTCGCCACACCACACCACACAATGTCACGCCATGCCTAGGGATACCTCGCCACACGCCACGCCACAATATGCCACGCCACGCCAGGATGCACCCTGCCACATCCGCTACGCTCCACTCGGGCTCAACGCGTCATCGTTGACTGTGCGCATTAAGGACAGAATCTGCCAATGTTTTTCTCGTGCCAAAATTGAGAGTAATTAGGTTTTGCGGAGCCAAGCGGCGAATGCGTCAGCGCATGCAGTTGAGAATTCGCAACAGAAACTCCCAGGACCAGGAGGTTTTGTATTTGAGCAAAGAATGTGACAGATTTTCGAACCAGCTGCACTCCTGAGTGGAAACTGGACTCTGCCTCGTATCCTAGAGATGATTATTTTATAGTTTCCGCAGTTTTCTTGAGTTTCTTTGTATTTTTGCTTGTTAAACAATTAATCCTTAAAGTGCGTTCCACATTTTTGTGCTTGTGCATGATCAATTTATTTAATTTCAGTTCAGTTCCCAGGATAATAACCAAATCTAGCTTTAACCATCATTCCATCGTGGATTTACCTATCTTTCAATGGGAAATTTTCTGAACACAGTATTTCTTCAGTCGAAATCACAAATAGTCAGTCATATCAAGAATTAACATGAACATTAAAAATAAAAGAAATAAGTAATATAAACTTTAACTGGGCTAAAACAAACAGTACTAAAGTACCTTTTTGCAAATCTTTTCTCCCTCTTTTCTCCCTCTTTTCTACGAAAATTCAGGAACTACATTCGCGCACATTATGACACAGCATGGATACCTAGTACCTTTTAAATAAACAAATTCAAGGACTCAGTGGCAAATACCGTATTCAGAACTGGTATGCTCGTTTATCAAGACTAGTTACGGAGAAGCATATGATGAGCTATCTTAATAATTTTTCCAAGAATGAGTATTCTATCGAAGTCCAATAAAATTGAATGACATGCGTTTGCTAATTATTTTCACCACAAATAGTTTCAGACGAATAAAAAACACAGCGGTCAACACAAAACTTCTCTACAGCTTCATTGCTTTAATGAACTTTTTATAAACATGCTGATCGATCTGTTCGCTGGAGAACTGGTCCTCTCCGATTCTGGGAGAACATCCAAGCGAAACTGCGTCCCACTAACAAACCTTATCTATATAAGGCTAACGCCAAAACTTGCAAGTTGACCAGGCCATAGCTCTTCGGGAGAGCACCGTTCACAGGAAACTTCTTAGAACTCAGCGGCGAAAGTAACCCAAATTAACAACAAAAGAACATGTTTCTGCGAAGTCACTGCCGGTTCCGTTAGCCTTTCACGAGCTGCGTAACATAATGTAACCTTCTTTTACATTTGGAATGATATAAAATATTCAAGAGGTCTAGAAAAACAATGTAAGAGTTGGAACTAATTTCCGAAAAATGCACGCAAAAACGATTGATTTCACCCTTTTACGGTTAATTTTCATTGATTTTCCATTTATCTTAAAATAAATTAATACTATACTCATATCTTTAATTCACATTAATTTTCAAAAAGTAAATTACTTTACACAGTTAATTTTTATAACCGTTGACGAATCGTATAAAAATACAAAAGGACATTTCAACAATGTAAGAATAATAAGGTGGCCTGTCATTAGAGTCTAGATGGTAGTTGGCTGACGATAAGCACCAATACCTTAGTCAAAGTCGCTCTATCTATGACCCGGTTACTTTCTGTTGATGCCAAAGTTCAGAGCGTAAGCGAGACAGTTAAAAATTACGTCATTTTTAAAACATAACACACAATTTTGTGGATTTGTTTTATCCAAACGTGCCCTTGATATTACGTACAACATGATAAATCTCGTAGATACTGTGCAAGAATGCTCTCTATGTAATGCTTGGCGACTGGAAATACGAAATAGCGAATTCTGTCAAATTATTTTACAGTCTCCCTATCAACATTAGAAATACTCTACTCTGTTTATTGCTCCTTCTTCTACCGCAATCTTAAAAGGAAGGTTTTCCTGGAAATTTCCTGCCGTACTAATCAGTTCATCCGCAGTATTCACCGCGCCTCCACGAGGACCAGGCAGGTTAGGCGAAATATCGACCAGCTGCGGGAGCGAAGGCGCGCCGGGCCGTGCGGTCGCTCGCTGCATCTCTGATTTTCTTATTGCTGCTGCTGCGGCGGCGGCGGCAGCCGCGCAGCCCTACTTCCACGGACCGGTTATGCTATGAATGATGTCCACACCCACTAGATGTCCCCTCTTTCCTGCGGCGGACCGACGCCAGCCCCCTTCGGGGAAGACTCTTAACGCTGTAGACCTCGTCGCTATTAGAGAGGCCGAAAAAATACGCATTAATGCAAATTATAGAAGATTGGGACCGACACTGATGTGCATAATTATATACATTTCGGTATATTTACGATATTATTTGTAGATCAGGGGGGAAATACAGGGTACAAAGAAACGTATCTTAAACTGCACACAAGAATGGTCATGTACGGTGCAATATTGAGTCCCAAATCCAGGGAAGACAGAATAATTTTTGAACGGAAGGTTCATTTTCATAACTATTAAAGAATCAAATCAGAAAAGAAGAACCAAAGGAAAAAATGGGGATTAGGAGTATATAAAACGAGTTGAAAGTTTATAAAGAAAACTGAATAAATGAACAAATAATGAACACTGACAGATGCATAATGAACGATGAGCAATTGCTCTTCAAGACCCTTAAACTAGAATTACACAAGCAAATTGATTATTTTCTCATCTATATAATATTGGAACCTCGCGATCAAGTAATACGAAGTTTCCTCTGAACGACACAAATGTAAAATACGTGATTTATACGGTTGTGATTCGTGAAGGGTTGATAAATATCAAATCGACTGAAGTGTTTGTTAACAGGCATCTTCGACGTATTCTGAAAGCCCAGGGTTTGAAAGTATATCTAGAGCAGACTTTTGACACCCGAAAATCTTCAAAATCTAGATCAATGAGTGGTTATGAAAATGGTTTAGTCACATCCTGTGAAAATATGCAAGAAATATTGAAAAACTCTTCAATTTTGCCTTAAGGTTACAGAAAGTGTGGACATCGTCGACCTTAACAACGTGAAAGAGGACAGTAGATAGGGACAAAGTGTGTAAGAGAAGAATGGTATTAGTGAAGTAGTGATAAATAAGAACATTGGGATTAATTGGGGAGAAACATTACATATATTATATAATGTGAAAAATCTAGTTGAATGTAGAAATAGAATTTCCGTATTGGTTTTCCTGTATGAATTTTCTATAGCTCAAACGAACTGAGTGTACTAAATGATAGTGTTCTGATTTAGGAGCAAATATTATTACTCATTATTTCTTTATTTCTCATAAGCCAAACGATCATCTTTTAGTCCAGGGAAAACTCACCCACCTGTTCCGTTACTACTAACAGATGGGGCACGATCTTTGATATTTTCTGTAGTAATAACAGTTTTATTCTCCACCCGAAACTCTGTGACTGCCCCAAACAGGAGTAACGAAAAGCAGCATATGCTTCATTACACTTTTACAAGACAAGACTTTAGTACTACGAGAAAGAAGTTAATGAACAAAACTGCACGTTTTAGTTTCTAGGCCTGACTAAAATGTCTGTAGTGTTGACGCGATTAAAAAATATATTGACCTTCCTCATTCCTCATTGTGCTCAAGTTCGTGGTTTCATTATGAAACATATTTTTTTTGATAATGTAGTACAAAATGTGAGACATAACTTGACATACGTGCTCGAAAATTCTTCTGTCGTAGAATCGTATCCATAGAAACTTTAGAACCTTCTGTAAAAATATTGGAGGCCAATGATGTCATAGATTTTTTTTACTACAAAAAACGAACAAACAGTAAGTTTCTTAATAAGTATTTAATTATTGAAAAGAAATCATATGGCGAAATATACAAACTTTCAGAGAAATGTATATTACGTATGTTTTCCAATTGGAAGAGGCAGGGCAGATAATTCTCGAAATACCAAAGACTTATTTAGCTGAAAACGAAATCAAAATCTGAGTGACAGCCATCAATCAGAAAACATTCAAACGATAAGACAAAAATAGAGATAACAACTGCGTCTCTTACCTAAAGAAGATCTTGTTAAATAACTGACATGCTAGGAGGCTTTTACTGACATGCTAGGAGAATGACGGAAGACTTGTGACACTGATAGACTGGTGTCGCCGAACCATAAAAATACCTCAAGTACAACTGAACATTTATTTCTACTCCAGTGATTGTTGCATTGTAGAAATCTAAAGACCATCTTATCTTTTCTGAAGATACGTTGAAATCCAATTTTTTATTCTCCACTCGAAACTGGGAAACACATGACATTCAATGGACATGAATATATGCGACAGATTTCAAGAGAAGATACAATATATTATGAAGTAATTGACACTAAGAAGAAAAAGAAGATAACATATTTTTTACGAAAAAAAAATAATTTGGGAATGAAAAGTATCATTATTGGTACCAATATTATCATGTAGTGCTGATATTTAAGGACAAAATATTTACCAATTTTAATACGCTTAGCCCATACCGCGAGTAAAATTCTTTCAATAAACGTCTTCCGCAATTTGTGCAAAAGGAAAACTAATTACTACAAAATTAAACTAAAATACTTGAAGTTTTTTCTAAGTTCATTATAAATGTGTCTACCTATTTGCCTATTGTTCTAATTAAAGAGATTGTATATAAAATATATTAAAGAAAAGTTCATTACAAGTAAAGTTTGAGGACTTTCCATTTTGTGAACAGCTGTAGAAGTAGTTGTTACTCTTACTTTGAAATTCAAGAGATATATCTATTTTAATTCTACCATTATGCTATTACTGGACTCTCAAAAGAGTGCCGTTTATTTCCCACGGTCACTTATTCGAACACACAAACTATAATTATTTTTTCCCTTAAACGTGTATT